TCCTTATCTTAGATGTTAGGTGCTAAAGAAAATTATGGTTGATTGGTTGTTTTGAAACCAAGCATTAAGTTAAAGGCAGAAATTTAGGGGTATATAAGTATTTGGTGTGAAGTTTTGTCATTGCTTCCAATATTAATATTTTAGACAAAATACATTTTCTATGTCATGTATGTAAGACACCTGGTCACCTGATGATAAGCAATCGGCGACAACCGCAAAAACAGAGGGGTTACGAGTGTGTTTGAGGATAAGGGGTTCTATGGACTTAAGGATTGAGGAAAGACAAAGTTAGTCGTTCGGTAAGCTCACGGTAGATTTTCTATGAAGCCAACCCTTTCGAGCCGATGCATGGCTCATGGCATTTTTAGCTCCATTACGGTTTCTAATAAATTGGATAAACAGCCAGTCTTCGAGTGCGTTTACAATACGCCAGACTTCTAAAAAACGATTACACCGTTATTACGGTTCAGAAAGCATAACAAGCAATTCATACTTAAGAAACCCGAGAATCGAAAGCAGAATTTCACTCACGAACACGAAACAATTGAAACCATCAGGACCAAAGTCTTCTCCTAACTCCTGCAATACGCAAACAGATCTATCAAAGAACTCCAAACTGCACACTTTTGCAATTCATAGAAAATAACCATGACTAATATATAAAATCAACTACCGAAGTTCCCCGAACACATCCAAACATTGCAATATTTGCCAATGTATTGCATTATAATGTCAGTATGCGACTAACCTCATTCCGGAGAACTGACATGAAGACATACTGGATCTATTGCAGTTTCCCACTAGCCAACACGTGCGTGGTGCATTCTACTCCCAATCAAGTTATAGCACAGTCACGTGCAAGGGTCTAGTGAAGCGAAACTATCGATAAAACTCGTTACTTAAGTAACTAACTTGAATGACTTGTGTCGATGTTATAGCAGTCATTCATATGGAACTAACTGCGGTTAAGTGGTTTGGCACAAAATCTAGTAGTTGATGTTTATTCATAGTTGTGTCTATTGCGAAATATTTTCAAGATTCTGTGTTATTACTGAACATTTTCGACAGTCGAAGTACTTCGTAATACTTTGCCCGACTCTGTAATGAAAGTCGCAGTTCTCTAAGTAGTCGTGCGTGCTTCATCTTACAATGGTTAAAATAAGTTAAAAGTTGTTTTCAAGTAACTATAATTTAGGCACATATAAAGTAATATGTAACTGTAACGTAACGACAAGTCAAATATATACGCCAAGCTGCAAAAATCTCTTCCATCCTTCGATAGATCAACTCAACTGTAAGCCACTAAGACATTTTTGAGGAGGACAAATCATCCGATGGCTACTACCGCCCTAAGTGCTGGAAGGGGCGAAAGGAGTTCTTGAAATCTAAGTTTCTATCGATACTAATCCACAGTATCCTTGCACCTCACTATTTTACAGTCACGTGTAGCTTTCTAAAGATTGACCAATGTTCTCTAGGCAACAGTGATTATAGATGGCGCGGCGGTGCAACACGCTGAGCTGCGCTTGCGCACTACTTGTAGTAAACTTAGTGTGGTCATTCACGTGACGAGTTGTACGACCTCAATTTCCTTCATTAATGTTTATATTACATTCGTACTGAGTAAATAATGCAATTTTACTATTTCAACTGCCTAGTTGGTCGTTCGTAAGGATTTGGATTGGGTTTTCAATTTCATTGAATTTAGAAATTTTGCCACATGTGATAGATTTTAGATATACGCTCTTGTTACGTTTGCTGTTTAAATAACATATTTTGTGTCTTAAATACAAAAACAAAAAACAGCCTTAAAAGTTTGGTCTAAACGTCTTCTACGCTAAGCCTATTCTAGCTCTTAACACACCTAACTGTAACATTTTGAGGTCAACGTCCTGCAACCGCAGTTAGTCGATACATAGATAAAACTACAATGCAACGCGCGGTGCATAACTGAACGTTACTCTGCCGTAATATTTTTAACCCAACACGTATGTTTTCGAGTCCCTTTGTAAGACATTTAATTTAAAATAAGCAATGAGAAGTGTTATTTTTCATAAAGCGCTTCCTACCAACTCGTGAATAAAAAAACATATAAAAAAAATTAGCCATAGTTTTGAGTCAAGTATTTTTTTTATAATATAGGGCGGCAAACGAACTGACATATATCTACACCAAAGTAGTTACAAAAGAGTTTATGACCTTTTGGAGATGGTTAAGGATTTGGAGATGAGGCTTGAAGTTGTGCCTTTTTTCTCTAAGGCCGTAATGTGATATTACTGCACATCAAGTGTAATGACATACCGCGGCTTGATCCAGTTCAGAAATTTGACAGGGCAGTTTTAGTGAGTACTAATGTACTTAACTAAAGCCTCATCCAGATCTGGAATAGTCAAACAGGTAAAGCTGCATTTAGAAACATATGAACAACTACTAAAGATCATAGCAAAGTCTGAAATCGTTAATAAGTATTGTTTGTACCGCACGTCATTCAGGCCCAATCTAAGTTGCTCAAAAATAGTTTCTATTACGATGTCAAGAAGTCGCTACAGTACTTCGCTGGTCAATGAAACGGAAGCAGCTCGACCCCATTGTCATGTAGATAGCGAACTTTAACATGTCCGCTTATCGCTCCACTAACCTAATGTTTATTTATGTTTACCGTATAATTAAACAGTTTTTTTTCAATCTATACAAAACACTCTTTTGGACTCAGTTACCAAGTAGACCTGTGTTCAGTAAAATCAGACTAAAGGCCCGTTTCACAAAGTATGAATAGCCAGTACGTACTAAGTAGATAGATGTGTAAATTTGAATACAGAACGTTAACTATGTGCCACATAGGTGCATAGGATTTTTACAGAAATTGCTATATAAAGGTGGTAACGTCGTCAATACAAATTATGTTTCGACCAAGAATTGGAAACGTCCGATAGGTAAATCGACGACATCTTCTTAGTCGCTGGAAAGCTAATGGATGCAAGAGAAGAATTGTCAGTCGACATGAAGGGGGAAGACTTTGTTCTGCTGTAGACGTTCCGGTTGGTGATGAAAATAATGATTGATATGATTTTTTTCAACTTATACCATCCAAACAATGTATTGAAGACTTTAAGAATAAAGTCTGCCTCTAGAGATGGTCCTGAATCCCCAAAAAGGCGACAAAGCTCTTGTTACTCCTTTATTGTTCCGTGTGTCGAAGGCGACGCCGATTGCTTACTATCAGACACAGTAAACCTTTTCTACTAATACAACGTTTGTAAAAAAAAAAATATAAACATTTTCACAACATCATTGTATCATTTACCTTTGTGATCAACGGTGCACATAAATAGGTAATTAGAAAAGTCTAGAAAAACAAGTGCAAGGTTGGGCGTAGGTCTAGGTCTTACGTAGTTTACCTGCACATGTAATTATTCTGAGGTCGAATAGGAATTATTTTACACCAGTTTCCTATGTAGCCTAATGACTAGGGTATTTTAAAATGTTGTTCGTGCATTGCTGGGTACCTACTCAACATCTGCCTACCTAGCTATTCAAATCCAATACTTATTTTGTATTAACAAAGTCGATCATTTTCTATTTACTTTGTATGAGTTATTTTGTGTTTATTTGCAGCTGCTTTTTGTGTGAAATGGAATACCTAATTGTTTAAAAAATCGCACGTATTTTATTATTCTGACAAATTTGTCAAAAAATGAATGAAACTTATTCTCGTCGAAAATTCGAAATTATGGTATAGTTATTTTGTCTTAATCCAGTCACACAGCCAGCATTTAGTTTCATTATTAGATTGACGAACAGTTACTATTTGGATATTTTTAAATGCAGCTTAGAAATACTAAAGATAATAATAAAACGCCATAGCTCCAGCCAGAACATGGAGCCCTTACTGACTTGTCAAATTTTTTCTTGAATTATTCGTGGAAGTCCAGGTATGGTTTAAAAGGTCAGAAAACTTACCTCAGTTAATTTTGAGGAGGCGGAACGAAATTTGTCATGTCAGCTAGTTACCTATATTATTGACGATACATTATTTTTCCGATCAATCTCAAGTCATCACAATATTTTCGGTATCATCTGAAAACTAGGCCAGATGTAAAAGCAACGATTCACTGACTACTCAGTATTGTCTGAAACGCAAATTATTTGAGATATATACTACTCATTGATGATAGTGAACTACAATGTAGGGTAAATGCCAGCTGGTATTTGTCATTCAGATAAACAAATCCAGGCTAGTTGATTCATCTGAATGTGTGCTTTGTCGTTTTAAATGTGATACATCACACAACATAATTACGTGTTAATTTTTACATCATCTTCATTTGTCTAGAAGTAACATTTTTATTAGGTATTTGATCTATCATCCATTTGCTAATTATTATTGAGTATTTGTCTACTTAGTGTGAACTTATTTTGAATGTGTGTGTGATTTGTACCTATTTGACATGTCTGTAAAGATACATCGATAAAGTAAAATAAAATGATGAACGAGAGACAAAATTTGATCTTTGTGTGATATGCCTCGGAATCGATCCTCGCACAAAACAACTCTTAGAGTGATCCAGAAATGGTAGTTAAGAGTGCAAGTGTGATGCGATTATGATATTATTTTTTTTATATTTGTCATCAACCACACGGTAGAAGTAAGGACTTCTGTATATGTGAGGCAACCTCTATTTAAAACAAAAACTGTAACGAAATTTTAACCGTACTAACTTTTTTAGAAAATTAGAAAATTAATGAATTGGAATATTTTTTTAGAAAATTAAAAAAGGGGGTAGATGAAGATTCATCGCCCGAATGCAGAGAGCTGTGACATCGCGTCTTCATTCTGCTTGTGACCACGACCCGTGCAACCGGGTCGAAACGTTAAGCCTACCAAGGTATACAAATAATAATTTTCCGCGTAAATATATGTTAGAAATTTTAACCGTCCCAGGTTTTGATAGGAGCTGGATATCGCGATGAAATATTTATAGTTTATATCGAAAACTTACTCTTTCCATTCTGCACAGTATATGTGAGGTCTTGGAAGCTGAGGTTCACAGGAGGACGTTGGGGTAGATGAGAGAGGTGCGCGCGACCCAAAGCCCGCGAGTTCACCTCTACCGTGCTCGACATTTTTAATCACACTGGCATTCCAAGGACAGATCCTGCAATACAAACAAAAAAAAACAATCGTTAAAAACATGGTTCCAATTTCAAAAGATTTTTTTTTACAGTTTTGGTTAAGGTAGGTACGCTTGAAACGGTATTTTATTTTATTTTCTTATAAAAAAGCTTAAATGGTTATGCAGGTAAATAAAAAAATAATATTAGTGTACGTTCTTGTATTAGAGGTTATCAGGAAGAGATCGTAGAATATGATAAGGCTATTTAAGAATTAAAAAAACACTTAAGAATTCAAAAAAATAATACAAATATTAAGACTAATCACAAATTATTCACTACTAGCTTTCTGAACGCGGCTTCGCAATGCCATAACGGTTGGTGAAAATCTTACTATCATCCGTTTAGTGGTTTGTGAGTTCATACAGACACAGATAGACAGACAAAACACTTCTTTTTTATGAATATAGTTATGTAGGAAACCAACAGCGACGTATAAATCAAGAAGTTTTCCAATGTTTTTTTTTAAAAGTTCAGTCAGAGAACAAAAAAAAATTATAAGTACTCCTATGGTGATAATTAATATAATCTTATGTTCATTTCCAGTGAATATTTTTTTTACATATTTACATTATTACGAGTAGTTCTCACGCCTCACAATTTTTTTAACATAAAAATAATCTATTGTATTTTAATTTAAATGTGACTTTTATTGAGTAAGTTATATAAAAAATAACTTATTACCTATTATTTCACGAACACACGATACGAAATTCGATGGTTTTTAGTTAGTAAAAGTCTGACATTCCTTCTCATCCCACTTAAGATGGCAAAATTAATTGACCGACTGTCCAAAACCAAGAAATAAAACAAGATAGCGGATGATGAAGTCGAGAAGCCGGTTGACTCATATCCCGTTCATAGTTATAAGTCCCAGCTGTAGCTCGAAAATGACAGAACCCGCCAATGAACAAACAGTTAGGTTGTTAACAAATACCTTGTCCTTATTTTTATTTATTTTATACATTAGGGCTGATTTTTCAATGGTTAAATAAAATTTACCTGGAATAATTATAATGCTCGCGTCAGAATGTTTGTATGAGACAGTGACAGCAACAATTTTATTCTTAACCTAATAGAAAAATGTACAATACAAAGAATTATAAAACTTTACAATGCTTATTTAGCTTAGCAGTATAAATGCGCAAACTCAAAAAAAGATTAGCCAACAATATAATATTACATAAATTAATAACAAACACGACATTGACACACATACGGGTCAAGTTTGTCTGTCTGCGTGTTAAATTTTTTCTATGGCACGCAATATATTTTTTTGCAAGTCAGCAAGCAATTTTGCAATCTATTGTACCGAAAATAGATTGTATTGCACATATTATGTTTGGTTTGATTTTTAAGGTTAAACATGACTTGCAGATATTTAAAATATTGCAAATTGCAAATATTGTGGTGCGGGGAATTCTCTTTAACCATGAAATTTGAGCCTTGAAATTATTGCCTTGTGGTCGAGTTTTCGTTAATACAACCACCGAGTAAAACGTTTTGGTTTAAAATACGTTTTTGAAAAAGTTTCTGGATAGCGCCATATTTGTTAGGTAACAAAATCACTTGGATTTGTAAATTTGTCTGTTCCGAACGAACGCCCAAAATATCTGTACATTTCCATTTTGATTTAGTGATATCACTAGTAGATGAAGAAGGTTTCATTCATTAAATTGTCCTTAGTCGCGACCATGATTCGTAGCGAGAGGAACTAGTGAGCCGTCTCCTCTTTCTGCAAAGCAGTGATGCTCGCAAATATACCAAAGTATAACTAAATATAATATAAGTCGGGGTTCGAGAGACGATTTCTGGCCACCGTAAGCGCGGGTCTGCGAATGGTGACCAGACCAGAACCAGACCCGAGCGTTCCTACGGCGCATAGCGTTCCGCGCGTGCCTCAACGCGCCAATAGGCCACTACAGACGGAGCCCTATAGGACTGATGTTCAGCCAGGGTTGCGGGTTAAGCGCAATGAATCACCGCGGCCTCGGCCCAGAGGAGAAGAAGGAACGGGGGTTTTATAGTCAGTAAGAGTCTGACACTCTCTCTCGCCTTACCCTAGGCGGGAGATTCGAAGGAGAGGATAGGATATATAATAGGGAGTCATTTGAAGGTTTCACCTGACAAAAAAAAATACATTAAATTATGAAGATCTCAGTGTTGCGGACCAAACTGCAGGCGGAACGAATGTTTGTAATAAATTTAAATAAGAATCATCGATCATAATTTATTGCGAAATCAAATTATTATTGAATAGATATGGTTATGACCTTTAAAGTCTTAAAACAGTAGAGAATTGATGATGATGAATGAATATCTTGTCCACCTTAAATAGACTAATGGCATCGGGCATAGTATCCGCATTCATTGCTCAGGGCTACCTAGTTTGTACAGAAAAAGCCTTTTAAACATAAGTTACAATGGATTGTGAATCTTATTGGAAACTAGTTTATTGGTCAAGAGACGAGTACCTATATGGCCTTATGTTAGGCAACGTTTTGTTATGGCTTTAAATTATTGGATTTCTTAAGTAATAAGTAGCTCAATTAACTAAAAATCGCGGGTTACTCACGTGTATATATTGAGAAAAGTTCTACAAGTTTCGAACCACAGATTCTTTCTCATGAGTACGCGGGCGCAGCGATGTCGCGCAGCCTCCTACTTCTACTCTGTGGTTCGAAACTAGTAGAGCTTTTCTCAATATAGAATACACGTGAGTAACCGCGTATATAGTTATCATAAAAACACAATAAGTAGCTCAGTAGATAGATGATCTACCGAAGCCAAGATCCATCACAAGAGAAGAACAGATTGGTTTTAAGTCAATTAAGGTCTAAGTCTCTTTCTCGCTCCACCAAAGGCAGATTAAGTAATGATTTAAAAAAACAATGTTGATGGATGCAAGTAGGTGAATTTTACTATTCCAACTTAGCGTTTTAACATCTTGAATAAAATACAGCTTCATTTCACTATCTTTACACGCAGGTACGTTTGCGTGTATTACCTATATCATGATTTGCGTGATCGCTCGTCTGTGATGTTTCATTAAATCATTACAATCGGTTCAGCCGTTCCTAAGATTAGCACGAACATACATACATGAAAACATTTGATTAGTATTTTGATAGCCTGCAATTATGCACCTTAACCAATTATATAAATACAGATTAATTTTGTTCAGATAATTGTTGTTCTAGAAGTTTGGTAAAAGGATAACGGAATTTCGGTAATTTGTCTGTCTGTCCTTTCTCCAGTCGGATTTAATGGTGATAAATTATAGTTATTGGATATATGTCATACAAAACATAGAATTATTAATGTTTTATTCGTTGACCTTCTTGGATTCTCTATTGGTTTAATAGTTAAATGACGCGTGATGTTTATAATTGGTAAATTGTTTATAATTGGTAAAATATCTACGGATAACAGGATAAAGTTAAAAAAAATGTTTTAGCAAAAACTTTTTATCAGTCATGTGTTTATGCAATTTGCTGAGATCGGTGCCTCAGTTTCTCTTGTGATACCTATAGGACGAATAGAGAGATCGTGCCAAATATATGGTAGAATCATGCTTCGGCACAAATATCTGGCTCGACTAGAGATATGGTATAGCTCAAGGTCTTACGGAAAACTGGGGTGTTACTTGGCTTATTTATGTTAAGTTCTACTGCTTAAGTGGGTAGAGATTGAATCCCTCATATGATTTATATTTTCTGCCCTTTCCCTCCACCCCTAAATCTCTAAATCCTCAAATCCCCAATTTCCCATATCCCCACATTCCAATCCCCCTAATCCCCAATCCCTAAAGATAACATACCATCTAACTGATGATCATGCCAATAACAAAATCCAAAAAAAAACCTGCAAATAGCTTAAATCTTTAACACGCTTCCACTCGTAAATACTAGATCAAATTGCCAAAGCAAATGCTGTTGGCATCACGTTTTGCGCGCCTACCGTGTAGTTCCAAATGAATGGGTTACCTTTCACTGGCACGCAGTCACGTGTATGGACTAGTATATACATTTAGAGTTATGTATTAACTGTGTGGTGTTGCTATACATAGGCTGGAAGTGCCGCGAGTGTGAATTGATGGTCGTGTGTTATTTCTTGTAGAATTTTATAGTATACGAGCTATTTCACCCGCTGCTCAGCTCCATTTGTTCGTAGCGTGATGTTTTATAGCCTATAGCACCCAGGGACATTGTGACATTCTATCAGTGAAAGATTTTGAAAATCCGACCAAACGGTTCCAAAGATTACCCCCTACATACAATCTTCCAAATTTTATCTCTTTAAAATATAAAGTGCAGATGTGTCCATAATATGGTTTCTTAGTCATCTGGGCCGATTTCCCAGCCGAAGTTACAGTTTCAAGCCTATTGTGGAGTTGGCAGGAGAGGGAACGGGGTGGCTTTTAGTCTGTAAGAATCTGACCCCTCTTATCCTACCAAGGTCGAAAGAGAAGATTTTGGCCTCAAAAAAAAGTTTAAGAAATAATCAGGCTTGCCTCAAAGCAAATTTGCCAAAGGTTAAGGAAATAAATATAATCGTGCTTAGTTTTTATTTGTTAAATTTTGTTACATAATTGCATTTTTACATGGGAAAACTTAAAAATGTTAATAAAGATCACTGACGCAATTGATGCAAATCTATACTAATATTATAAAGAGGTAAAATTTGTAAGTTTGTATGTAGGGGGTAATATCTTTGGAACCGCTGGTCGGAATTCCAAAATTCTTTCACTGATAGATAGCTAAAATGTTCCTGAATGCTATAGGCTAAAAACATCACGCTACGATAAAATGGAGCCGAGCAGGGGGTGAAACGGCGCAAGAGTAGCTAGTTATGTATATTATGAGGAAGTGCATTTAAAGTGATTTATTCCTGCAAATCTGTGTCTCCTGCGAAGGTAATGTTCCTATCTCAAAAAGTACAATTTTACAAGTGTCTTGAACAACGGTTTAAACCTGTGTAATAT